AAAAAGGCCCAAAAAGTTTGATTTGAAGGTGGTGAGAAATGGTGCAAAAAGCTATATAAGTTAAGGAACAAAGGGGAGAGACAACCCCCTAACACAAAATAGGCTCAAACCACCATTTTTTGGGCTCAAAAATAGAGGTTTTTTTAGTTGAAAACCAGGCCAAAAACAGTTTGCAAAAGTGGCAAAACAAGTGTGCAAAATAAGCTTAAAGAAGGTAAGTGTTATACCTTTGAAGCACAACACTTAAACAGCCACTATCTGAGCCAAAACCAGCCTTTAGCAGCCCAAAATAAGTTCCAAGGGACCTCAGCCCAAAGATATGCAACTTTGATGAAGGATGTCTAGGTAAACTAGAAGTGTTTTTCTACTTCTATGCACAAAAGGGCAAAAGAGAGAGAACTCTAGAGAGAGAGAGAGATTTTTGAGAGAGAGGCTCCCAAAATTTTCTCACCTTCCAAAATATGAGATATGGCCTTCATATATAGCAAAAATGAGAGCCTTGGTCGAAATATTTGAATATAGAGACAGGTGGAGCCTTTGGAAGATAGCTGGAGCAAAATATCTGCAAATTCTAAGCTTTCTGGACATTTCTGGCTGACCGGCCATCTTGGTGGCCAACTGGCCACTTTGTTGGCCGACCAGCTACTAATGTTGGCCGATAAGGATCACTTTTGGCTGACCTATGGCCGGCAAGCTCCAATTGTGGCCGGCACACTCCCCCAGAGGCTGACGGCAAAAACTAGTCCCAGACCTCGACTTCAACCAGGCATAACTCCTTCATCTGGACCCCTTTTTAGGTCATTCTTGAGCCTAAACTGTAGCCCCGGAAGTCATATTTCCAATGGTAGTATCCTCACATCAAAATTCCAGGTGTTCTAAGAGATATCCCCTCTTGTAGTGGAGATTGCTTAGTTTCGGTCCAACCGGATTGATGCCTAACTTCAACCAGCCATATCTCCCTCATCTGGCCTTGGCTTGAGGAGATTCTTGAGTGAAAAATGAAGCCCCATAAGTCTTCTTTCCAATGGTGGTAGCCTCATATCAAAATCCCAAGTGTACAAAAGGATAGGCCTGATTTAGCGAGGACTGCTCAACTCTCTCTCTTAACAGTTCACGCCTATCTTCTTTCCCAACTAGGTTTCTTCCTTCTCTTCTTCTTTTCTTCAACCCCAAACCTCTAAAAAAGATGTTTTAAATATTTTTTCAAAGAGTTCACCTCTCCTTCATTTATTCCACTATGTCCTTGCTCAATTTACCGAAAAGCACAACATTTAACGAAATGCGAGCCTTGGAACATCGCAGAAACTTCTTTCAAAAATGTTTTGAAAAAGAGGGTTTTAAGGTCTAAAATCATTTTGGTCAAAATAGTTTTGGCCCAAAAATGGGGTGTAAGGTTTGGGATTTGACGCTCTCCTCTTGCCAAGGAAATCGAACCTTTGCACTGCACAACTTTCATCACCAAGTAAACAATCAGAAGCGCCCAAGTCTTAAGGGCGGTCAAAAATGGGGTGTCTACAGTTGCCCCTCTTTGACAGAACTCAGAGTCATGAAATGACGTGAGTGAATGTCAAAACCTAGAGATGACCCGTTTTTGACAAGATCGAAGACTTGGACAAACAAACAAAATGCAGATGCGGAAACAGATGGTTGCGCCCGCAAACTGCCTACGTATCCCTTTGTAGGGAATCAAACCAGCATAGTTCAAGGGCAGAATGCAAAATGATATGCAATAATATAACAAAACAATGTAAACGATATGCAATGCAATTGCATTATCAAACCACAAGCAGTGCAAAACTACACAAATATTATAAAGGGATGGAGATGCAAAATCAAACTACGTTTAACATAGAAAAGGTGCCGGAATCCTCAAACCACAATTCTCTTAGTGGAATAAGTGCATGCACATGCAGAACTATGTGTTTCACAGAAAGAATACAAGTAATTGGGTGGGATGATATAAGTGAGGAATGATCTGCTGAGGAAAGATCGTGATCCTACATGCTAAATGCAATGCAATAGATACAATGAATATAGTGAATAAAAAGAAAACAATGCAAAATCATACCTTTCCAATAGTAGATGCTGATGCTTGAAGCAGCCCATTTCTCTCCTCTAAGCTCTTTTGCAATCTATACATCTCCTCCTCCATCTTCTTAGCTTTGGCCTCTGCCTAGGGGGAAAAAAACAAATAAATAAAAAAATAAAATACACAAAATTAGAGAAGATCTCACAAAGAACATCACTTTACAGAGAAGAACAAAAAGGTGAAATGAAATGATTTTATTTCCAAAGTACACACAGATGCAAACAAATATACATAGAAACACATAAACAAATATACAAATTCACATGCCTGTCTTGTTAGGGTTTGGAGAGCAAATGACTGCTCCTGTGAAGCGAGACGGCTTTGGACCTCCATTGCGATCTTTCACTCCTCCGTACTCGAATCCTTCTTCTTTGTCTCTTCCTTTACGAGTTCATATAACTGATCTCTATACTTCATCGCCACCTACAAAGAAATCAAACACCGATTAACACTTGTTAATGAAAAACAAAATAAAAATGACTTGCTTTTTCGATTTCGGATTTGCGATTTGTGTGAGAGAGATCAGATCTAACAAAATGCAAGAGAAATCAGATCATATCATATCAAATTAGATCAAATCGAGTTCGGATTTCGATCATGTTAGATCGACTTTCTTTTTCGATTTCGGATCTGCGATTTGTGTGAGAGAGAGAGAGAGATCGAGTTCGATGAAGAACAACTAGAGTGAGAGACATCGATATTAATCGCGAGAGAGAAGAGCAGTTTATGAGAGAGATTGTGTGTTACTTTTGTAATTGGAATGGGGTTAAGTGTCTGTTAAGTTAAACAAACTTGGCTCATTGAGACCATCAACAAGCATCACGCCTTGAAAAACGTGTTGACTATTGAGGTATACCACAACGTTTTTAAAACATCTTGATTCAAACGCCGTTATAGACCACTTTTCTTGTAGTGTCTCTAGCATTACTGTTTGCCAAAACATGAACTTTCTTTATTTTAATTTATTTTATGGTAGAATCTTCAAAGGAGGAAGATTGGTGATGGGTAGCAGTGTAAAAATGACTTGCGGTTTATGGGCGGTCCAAAATTTACTCGCGGTCTGGGGTGGGCCAGGCCCAATTAAACTCGGCCCAGTTCGGGACCCTAGGCCTAAGCCTGGACCTGGACCTGAACTGTCATTTTGAAGCCCAACCCAATCTATCAGTTCGCTCAAGGCCCACTCAAAGCCCAGCCAGAGGCTCGCCCTGCCCAGAGCCCAGTGTCATTTCTTTTGGAAAGAATAAAATTTTGGTAGAAAAAATAAAAAAAAAAATATTCAGAGCCACCAAGGACCAAATACTCCTTAGGCCTGGGCTAAATTTTCAAGGTTGTAGGCCAGCCCGAATTTTAGCTGGAGCTTACGTGACCCGACATGGGTCAAATTTACACCCCTAGTAATGGGTGATGCTTGATTTGTGATATGGTGTTTTCTTTGTCTCAAACAAGCAAAAAATACAAAAAGGAAAATGTTTAGCACCCATAAAAATTCTCACAATTATATTTACAATTTATGTGATCAATAATACTTTGTAGCTCGAAAAAGTTGGCCCGAAAGTAGCTCGAATACCAAAACGACGTCGTTTTGGGTATTCTTTTTTTTTTTTTGCCCCTCTTTCTTGCTTTTGAATACAGACAGAGGAAAGAGAAGAGAAGAGGGGAGAGAGAGAGAGAGAGAGAGAGAGAGAGAGGAGAGAAGAAAAAAAGGAAGAGGAAGAGAGAAGAAGGAGAAAAGATAGAGATGGCGGTGATGGCGTTGTTTGTCCCCCCTTACCTCTTCTCCTCCTCCTCATCGATATCCCTTCACTGTAGCTTTGTTTTCTAATCTATATTCAAACCTAGGGTTCAACTTCCAGAGCTCCCTCTTTTTAAATTTGTTTTGCCCCAACTTCTTAAAATAAACAAAACCCAAAAACAGTTTTTAAAAGTCTTGCTTTCATTTTTTTTTATAATTTTCTTGTTTTCTCTTGCTTTTGTTTTAGATTTTACAATTTTTTTTTTTTTTTTTTTTTTACTAGCCTTTATTAGAATTTTTTTTTTGGTGTGGTGATTGTTGGTTGTTGATGATGATGATGATGTGTGTTGTTGTTGTTGATGATCTCTAGTGGATCTGGATCTAAAGATGAAGAAAAAAGGAAAGAAAAAAAAAATTGTCGATGATGATGATGTGTTGACGAAGATGTTGTTAATGATGATGTCCAACTCCCTCTTCTCTCTTTCTTGTCTCTTCTTTTTCATCTTCATCTTCAGAAAAAAGGGAAAGAAAAAAAAAAATTCCAAAACGATTTTGTTTTGGACTCGGGCCATTCGAGCCTTATTATTTTCGAGTTACCAATCGGAACTGTTATATAATATCATGTGTTTTAATTTTTTATTTGTTATATACAATAATAGAGTGTTAACTTTCTTATCATATCATTATAGGTAAATTTATTAATTTAAAAATATGAGTTTCTAACATTGCTAACATATTAGTTTTAAGCTGTCTCTAACAATCTTCCTCCCAAATGATTGATCAAAATGGCCACTTATTTCCCATACTAAACCCCATTTAAAAACAATTTCTAGCCATTTCCTTTTAAAAACAATTTCTAGTCATTTCTTTTTTTTTTTGGATAAGTAAGTCCTATTATAATTATAAATAAAAAATAGAATAAAGATTGGAACCCCTTTTTTCCCCACTCCCTTTGACCCCTTTTTTTTTTTTGATTGGTCACTTTTTCTTTTTTTTTTTCTTTTTTTCTTCTCCTCCAATCACCACCCGCCACGTGTGTGTGGGGTGGTGGGGGTTGAAGTTTGAGGGGTCTAAATCACTGCTGTAAAAAATATATAGTATATATAATGAAATTCAATGCAAATTTCGGTTTGAGTTTTCTTCAATCATTTATTTATTTAATTATTTAATTTTTTTTTTATAGTCTTTTCATTATTGGAATCATTTAGAGATGGACGCCTTCTACTTTTTGGCACAACAACTCTATTTCTGGCCATTTCCACACTTACAATTGACACAAAACAACATACATAACAAATGATTCAAAATTTTTCTCTAACATCACTTTTCAAGTAATGAAGTTTCACTTTGAATTTTCTTCTGTCATTATTATTTATTTATTTATTTATTTATTTATTTTTTTTTTTTGAGTCTTTTCATTATTGGAATCATTTGGATATGGACGCCTTCGACTTTTTGGCACAACAACTCTATTTCTGGCCATTTCCACACTTACAATTGACACAAAACATTGATCAATTTCACGATTAATGATTCATGAATCCACCGTCCACAACAAGGTCATGGCCGGATACAAACGCAGAGTCGTCGGAGGCGAGAAACAACACAGCATCCGCAACATGGTCAACTTTCAACACAATCCCTTTCAATGGATTCATCACCCCAAAAGCCTCCTCAACCTCCTCCGGCTCCTTCCCGAGACTCTTACACATCATCGGCGTCCCCACCGCGTACGGCGACACACTATTCACCCTAATCCCATACTCCCCAAGCTGCTGACTCGCCGCCCGAACCAGCCCCAACACCGCGTGCTTCGACATCGTGTAATCCACGAGCTTCTTCGTCCCCTTACTAGCCGCCACGCTCGCCGTGCACACAATACTCCCCCTCACGCGCCGTTCCACCATCACACGCGCTGCGTGCTTCACGCAAGCCGCCATGCCACGGACGTTGATGGCGAAAAGGCGATCGAATTGTGGAAAATCGAGGTCGAGGATTACCTGATCGGAGCTGCTTATGATTCCAGCATTGCTGAACATGATGTCGAGCTGGCCATAAATCTGGACCGTCGATTCGACCATGGATTTGACTTGGTCTTCGTCGGTGACGTCGCAGTGGAGGTAGATGCAACGATGTGCGCCGATGGTTTCGGCGAGTTTTTGGCCTTTTTGGTCTTGGACGTCAGCGATTACGACGGCGCGTGCGCCGTGATTGGCGAAGAGACGTGCTGTCGCTTCGCCGATGCCGCTGGCGCCGCCGGTGATGATGGCAACTTTGCCTTGTAGCTTGTTTGAGTGAGATAGACTAGTAGTAGTAGTAGTATTGTCTGCCATCTTCGTAATGGTGTGGGAGATTTAGGCTAGTGTTTTCTTACTCTTCACTGCTGCACTATGGTCAATAATATAAGACTACGGTGTAATAAATTTTGGACTGGCATCATCAACCTTTTAGATGATGAAAAATGCTTTGAAGGTCTAATTTTTGAGCTCTAAAGGTAGCTCTAATGAGTTGGCAGTGGGTTCCACCCACAGTAATGTGATATTTTGGTCTTAATTTGTTTTTATTTTATTTTTTTTATTCATTGTCATGTCATTAGTGCTCCATTAGAGCGCCAAAATTAGTGGTCTAAATTGTAATGGAAGATTTCTATTAGCTCCGTTTTCTATTAGCTCCGTTAGTCTTCGGAGGTAAAATAGAGGGAATTAATAGTGAGGGAATTAATAGTGAGGAAATTATTAGTGAGAAGATTAAGTAAAATTATGTTTGTTTTGATGATAGTTGTTAGTTTAGAAATTGTTAAATTATTTTTATATAAAATAATAAAATAAATAAAAAAATATAAAAAATTAAACATTAAACATTAATATTTAAAAAAAAATCTCAATATATAAAAAATAAAAAAAATAAAAAAATTTATAATCCCTTCACTATTTTTTTAATATCATCTTCACCTCCTCCATCTCAATCCCCCTTACAACCTCCATCTATATCACCTCTTCCATCATAATCCCCTCTCCAACTCTATAAACAAACACAACACTAAATAATTTCACATCCATCATAATCTCCTCCCATCTATTTAATCCAAAATAAATGGCCCTCTGTTAGAGCATCTTAAACAAGCTTTTTAAAGGTAGTATGTTAATTATTATAGTTCATTTTACTATTTTTTATTCTATTTAGCTTGATTTGATAATAGATTATTTTAATAATTTTTTAATTTTTTTAATTAAAATGTGATGTATAAAAAATTAATATATTTAAAATAATTTTTTAATTTTTTATAAAAAAAATGTAAAAAAAAAATAATATAAAAATATAAAAATTGCTAACTTGATAATTTTGCCCTTGGCGTGTTCAACCCATGACATGCTTGTAACGTGGGAGACCGCTGCCAGCCTGTAAGTGGTCATTTCATGTTGGTAGCTGGTTTTCTCCTTTTTAATTTTTAAATTTGTTTATTTTAATTTCAAACAAAAATGGACTTTAACTTGAAAACACATGAATAATTTCAAACAAAAATGGACTTTAACTTGAAAACACATGAATAAAACTATCGACCCCGCGGGGGTGTGTGATGGGATCGGTTGTGATTGGCCAGTAAAATTTTTTTTTTTTTTTTTCCAGTCACCTCATTTACAGATGAACTGAGGGTTTGAAGCAAAGTTCAAAACACATATATATATCAATATATACTTCATTTGTCTCAAAATAATATTTTGTAATGAATAATTCACTTTTTTTGTATAGTATAATAATTGCACTTGAAAAAAAAAGATTGTAAAAAATTATTGTTTGATAGTACAATTTTTTAAAAATATCAATTATCATATCATAACTATATTTTATTTGTTGTTAATGTAAAAAAGGGGCAACATAACAAGTTTATCTTATGTTTTTCTGTAATTTTTAAGAAAGGAATAACTGCTTTTCCGTTGGCCTTGGCTGACTCTCTTCGTCGCTTGCTTCCTCTTCCTCTTCAGAGCAGAGCTTCCTCGATGTTATGGCCTTGAAGGAAGGGGCTTCTCTTTATTCATCTTGCGTGTTTGATGGTATTCTTTAGCTCTGTATAGTACACTCTCTCTGATGACTGTGATAGCAGTCCATCAATGAGGGATAAAAATGTCTTTTTACACTAAATTTGACGCACTTCACGTGAATGTACTGTATGTAAGTTTGTAGGGTAAAAATTATAAGTTTTTTAAATTTTTGATAATTTTTTTAATTTTTTTGGCTAAAATTACTATTTGCCAAACAAGTTCTTAATGGATTGACTATTATAATAGTTATTTTAATAAGAGCATCACACTACATTCAACAAAATTTAAGTCAAATTACAACTTAAAATCCACTTTTGTATTTTAGCTAATCTCTTTTATATGTGTACACTCAATAGACTCTCTATTTTAAAATTCTATTTTATGAAAATATTTCTTTTTATTTTGTTCCTCTTCTATAATTTTTTTATTATACTTTATTTATAATCTTATGTATTGACATTGTATTCTATTTCATTAAAATATTTTTTTTATTATATTTTATTTATAATTTCATGTGTTAATACTGTATTAATAATAAAGAAAATTTATTTATAAATCTCATCTTGAGGAATGATGATTCATTTAGTCTCAAATATTTTCTTATAGACCAATTAGTTCCATTTATTTTGGAAAAGTAGATTTGATATATTATTTGGAAATTAGATTTAAGGTTATACCCTTATTTCCATTATGTTTCCTTCTCTTTTTTTCTTTTGTGCTAGAAAGGTAAGATACACAATCTATAAGATTCAAATTTGAGATAAATTTTTATATGAGAATCTTTTTCATTTAGAAAACATTTCAAATGGAGTATAAAAATGACTTGAAATATGAGAATTTTTAAGTATTTCAAAAAGATGTGGGATTCTTCAAACATTTCAAAAGAAATACAAAAACTCCTTAGTAAATTTTGGACAAATGTATAATTTCAAACTGTAATACTCAGACATAACACTTCAATGTAACACTTCAAAAAAAATTCTTAATGTATTTTTCCTAAACGTAACACTCCAATATAATACTCCAAAATAACTCCTTAGTGTAACACTCCAATGTAACATACAAAAAAATTTCTTAGTGTGTTTTTTTCCAAACGTAACACCCCATAAAATGGATGTGGGATTCTTCAAACCATTCCAAAATGAGCACAAAAAGTTCTTAGTAAGCTTTGAGCAAATATATAATTTTAAATTGTGATTGTTACGTTTGAGGAAAAAAAAAAAAGAAGAAGAAGTAGAAGAAGAAGAAGAAGATGAAGGAGCTTTTTAGTGTTTTTGTGTGTGCTAAATTGGAATGTTACATTTTATATTGATTGGAGTGTTGCGTTTGGAAAAAAAAATATACTAAGGAGTTATTTATTATTATTTTTTTTGTGTTATATTGGAGTGTTACGTTTGGAAAAAGTAAATTAAAAAATATTTTTTGAGTGTTATATTGTTACGTTTGGGAAAAGTACACCAAAGAGTTTTTTTAGTACGTTACATTGAAGTGTTACGTTATTGGAGTGTTACATTTTTGTTCATAATGTAAGATTTGTTCTAGAAGGAGAGAAAATCCAAAACTTCTATAGTGTGGATTGCCCAAATATATAATTTTATACCCACTTTTATTCCTAAAAAATTAAACTCAAACATGTAAGTGACTACTCTTTTGTGTAATTTTCACTTTAATGATACATTTGTTGGGTTCATAACAATAAATAGAGGATTAAATAGTGAAATCTAATAACAAATATAAATAGTGAAATCTAAAAAATTAATACAATATTAACACATATTTATTGTTAATATAGTAATAATTGATGAAATGATAAATAAAACACAACATATTAAATATTTTACTACCTAAAATTATTTGTTGGGTCATCTTTCTCTAACTACATGTAAGTAGTGGTTTGATATTAAAATAAAGTAGTTAGTCAAAAATTGCGTTTGATGGAGTATGTTTCTATAGTTTTGTGTTATTAAATAGGCAAAAGAATACTCCAATGAGCTTGATAATGGTGCTCTAAAATTCTTACAGGTTATATTTGGAGTCTGAGGAGAGTCTTTAAACTTTGTGTATATAAATATGTGAAATCAATAATAGCATTGGAGCACCTAATAAAAAGTTAATTATGTAAAATAAAGAGTATACCTTTTTCATCATTTAGGTGGTGAAAATTAAAGAGTAGCATTAAAGTTGCTCTAAAAATTGTGAAATAATCATGTCAATTTATCGACATTTTAAATTTAGAAAGAATTACAAGTCATTCGATAATACAATAGAATTTCTCTATTACAATTTTTTTTTTAGGGGGGGGTAAAGATTTGACTCCTTATTGCAACTTTGAAATGAATAATCACAATCAGTGAAATTTATGTAGGTGATCCTATATATATATATCAAATAATTACACATTATATATTTTTAAATAAAATATGAATAGTGTCAGTTAGACCCATTAAATATAATGATCTCTCCACTTCAACCTTTGTATGTGTTGGTGAAAATACCAGAAAAAATTATATTTTATTGATAAATGATGCAAAGTAAATGAGATACAAATAGATCAGGCTGAGGCACAGATATCTCGCTTTCTTTAAGGAGATCAAGCCTACTGCGGTAAGAAGAATCCCAATACCGATGCAGCAGTCACAAAACTATGACTTGTTCCCTCCAGGATACAACAGCCCGACCACTTGTCGTATGGTTCAGGCCAACTTTACACAAGATGGTGAACCCAAAGCTCCACCAAGAAAAACACCATTCTTTGCTAGTAATCTCTGTTGTATAGAAAATAGTAGATGAGAGGAACTATTTATAGGCCACTAGGACCTTACAGTTACACCAAAAAAATAAAAACCATTAAATAGGAGAAAATGGAGACTCCAAATAATAAAGAGAAAATGGTTACACCAAAATAATGACCATTAACCAAGATGAGAGGTTACCAAAAATAATGACCATTAACCAAGATGAGAGGTTACCAAAGCAATGAAACCCCATTTATGACCAAGATATATAAATAAATAAATAAAAGACATTAAAATGGTCCAACAATCCCCCACTCATTTTAATATTATCGAGGATAAAAGAGAGTACCAAACAAAGATAGATTAGTATGCATCATGAAGGTGTGCTCTGCATTGAACCGTCATTAGTGAAACAGCAACCTCTACTCCAGAGTCAGTAGTGGCCTCAGATTTGAACTATGACTGCTTAGGGAAAATAAAGAATTACTGCTCACACATAATAATCTAGGTGTTGACATGAGCTTTAATAGCTAGCACATTACGGCCTTGTGCTAATCTCAGTTTTCATAAGCATATTCGAGAATAAGCCTTGTTCTCATAGAAAGCGGCCCCACTTTCATGCTCACATAGGTGAAATTTGTCAAGGATGTTCTTGTAATTTACACACCCCACTCAACAAGAGCTACAAAATTTCATTAAGAGTATAAAAACTCAACCCTCCAACATTACAGGACAAATGCACTTACATCATAGGGATGGATAACAAAATATTAAAGAGTGCATTTTTACAACCACC